TGTTTATCTTTTTTTTTATTTATTTATTTTTTTTTGCAGAATTATTGTCATCTCTTGTGTTTGGCACTTTCCTGAGAACTGACTTTTTTTTACGAAGTGGCTATATGATCGGCTCCCACTCAAAGTCTTCGATGTACTAACATACTAAATGAGTGCTAGTTAACTAGATAACTTTCAGAAATTTTTGAAATAAGTTTTTCATTACTTTTTCATAATTTGTTTTGTGCTAGAGATAGTGAGTGTGGTAGCACAGTTTCCCCTTGTACGTTATAGGCACTTAGTTATTATAACTTTTTATCATCACACTCACATGTCAAATTTTGTCCGTGCCCTGACTTGTCTGCAGGACCTTGCAATTACTGCCTTGTTGGTAGGTGCGATCCAGTAGAATTTTGAGGGGGTGGGGGTGGAAGAGTGAAAGATTTAGGGAAAACAATTCCTAAACGGACGGAGGGGCCGAAAAAAAAATTCTTGCAAGGCAAAATTTTGAAMARTCTCCWCTAAAGCTTTTATTTTTTTAAATTTACATCGGAGTTGACTGTCCTTCTGAGGGACAAAACTGAATCACGACTCACGATATAAAAAAATATTYACGCGCCACGGTTAATTTTTTCGCATTTTYACGAGTCACGGCTAATTTTTCAGTAACCCCATTGAGACCCTCTGATATATAAAAAAAATACGTCGTCCAAATACGGGGGTGCGTCCGCACCCAAAGCACTTCCYCTGGATCCACCCCTGGGGATGGAGATTCTGCCTCTGTTAATTTAGATTTAATTAATTATAGTTGCTTTATCAAAAAATACGCAAAACATTRCTGAATTGACTTACTAAAAACAAATCAGACAAAATCACCTGTTACACGTATATTTATTATATAAACTGTATCTCACTGCAGTTTTTGTCACATCCAATGGTGTACAACCTTCTGATGAAAAATTGGACTGGAAGGTTTCATAATCTAAGGCAAAGTCCATGTATGACCTTTAACTTTTGGACGTGGATATCTCTCAACATTTGGACTATATTGGATGTGGTTCTCTTCCCTCTTGTTTTTGTTATTGTTTATGCCCTACACAGAATGATCAAGTTCTTAGAGTATAAACAAGGTAAGCAACTGATTTTAAGAACTGTTGAAACTAAAGGCGGATTATCTTGCCAAGCTTGTGTACTTGAATATAATTGAAATATTACATCATTAGTGCATATTGRTGTGTGATTACAATAGCCAATTTTGTATATAGATATTTTGTTTCAGTGACCATGCACAAAAGAATTGCAGACGAGGCTGCGGTGTAATAAAAGAATAAATCAAGATTATCCATTGTTTTACCGGAGCCTCGTGTGCGTTCTTTTGTAAATAGTCATCGAACCAAAATATCTAAAGTTGACTATTTGATGACTTGCACTTTGCGCTAATGTAGTCTATGACACAGGTTAGGGGGGAGCATGGCGATTGGCTGCTCTGCGTTTCGTGAGCGAAGTACTACAATGGGAGACATTTCTATTGGGACAACACGAATATTTTGTATAGTTTAAAACACGATCTCGAGTGTTTTAAACGGCTTAAAAAACTCCAACACTAATTTGAAACTCAAATCCGTTAAAACTCTTGGAGAAATTGCCGTACAAATATGTTCAGAGATAAATGGGGCAAACTGATCATGCGCGAATCACTTTACAAAGCACTAAAATAGAACCGCTCTTGGCTGTTCACTGAAATCGGTTGACATCCTTCATTGGCCAATGATCAGGTTTCAAACCTGAGACCTTTGCTAGGTTCATGGACCTTTATATCCGATAAAGTTCACCCTTATTAGTGTTATTTATATAAAGAATAGTAATAAGGAGTGTTTTATCAGATATAAAGGTCCATGCATGTGACCAAATAGGCTCTTTCCATTGGCCTAATACATCATAAATTATGTATGAGTAACTCATTAATTATGAGTTTTTTAAGTACAATTACATACTATTCCTGTTTCAATGATTATTATTTCCCCTTACCCACCTCCCTTGCCCTATACAACCTATACCCCCTCCCCCTCATTCAATGTTGGAAGATGGCCTGGATTCATCAATACCGAGGCCAAAAATCATCTCGCATAAGGGCAAGGAGAAAGTAAGGAGGGAGGGGGAATGATAATATATTCTATCAAAGGCATAGAATGTATGGGGTGACAGAGGTGGTTGATGCGAAAAAGAAATTATTATCAAACGTATAGAAATATGATCTTGTGCCGTATAAAAATTTCCACCATTGTAGTTTTGTCACTTGTGTTGACCCTTCAGTTTGCGCCGACCTCAMCACGTGTGCAAGCTCGAATCGCARTTTTYCCCTYCCAGCCCACTTCCAAAGTGAAAGTCTCATATTTTGTATATCATTGTTTAGACCATGCTACTGTTCTGGTTTTAAATTCGACTAGTACAAGCGAATGGGATAGTATGCATTCACGCTCAAAAATGCTCAACATTAGCAAAAGAACAATAAGTAGTCTTCAGTATCATCAGTCCAAATACGCATCAATAATACGCGAAGAAAATGGTGTCGTAAGGAGTGGTTTTCTAGTGAAGGAAAGTGCGATTGAAATGATAGAGAATTCGACATCAAGCTTGAAAACGGATWGTAACTCATTGTCGTCGTGTATGGAGAGAGCCAGGGAGATGCTCAAGAATTGCCCCGGAGTCTATTTCAACAAGGTAGATATTATAATAGTCGGTGCTAAGGTAGATATTTTTCGTTTGAGGTTTTGTCGCAGCGGCGATTTTGAAGGAGCTTTAATAAAGGGATTCTCATTAGTATCTATTGTTCATTCCTCCAACATGGCCGCCGGTCTTACAATGGTCTTCTTCACGGTTCCCTGCTGAGCAATATTGAAAGGTAGCCGTGCCTTTGTATCAAAGCGAAACGACAGTTAAGCGTGCAATGATAGAAACCTTCTTTTACACATACTGACAATTATTCGCAGGAATCTATTATTGCACGCTCAATGGTCGTCTCGCTTTGATGTAAAGGCACGGCTACCTTTCAAGATGGAGCAAGGAACCGTGAAGGAGACTATTATCAAACAATATTTGAGCGCATGTAAATTCTAGAACCGTGCGCGCTTTGGTTTTTAATTTGTAGCATTTTCACGCGTGCCTACAATAAAGCGTGGATTTCACTAGCGCATAAGCATAGCATAAGCACAAGCATGAGAATCATATGCGCCAGTGAGAACGGGCTCGACATAAGGATAAGRCATTGAGCATGCGCACGAGCGTATTATTTCGGTACCAGRCTATGCTTATGCCTATGCAGTCCCGTTTCCACTGAGCATAAGCATGAAATAAGCATGAGATAAGCACAAGAATATCAAGACTTGCTCGTTTTTCTTGTGCTCATGCTTATGCTTATTTTGAGCCCGTTCTCACCGGCGCATATGACTCTCGTGCTTCGTGCTTATGCCTATGCTTATKCGCTAGTGAAATCCACGCTTAACCCTTTGTAAACTACTGATGAATGTCCATGTTCGGACTGAAACGTCTAGTAAAAAAATATTTTAATCTAAGCGAGACGCAAAAAATACTTTCAATTTAAAATACATTTTATTTTTGAAATCGAACGAGCGATTGCAACAAGAATTACCGCAAAAATCTCCAGTGTACATGGGCCTATTGTTGGGAGTGCGCATGCGTGAGGGCTCACATAAAGCGGGGCACTGATTATTTTCGTTTGCTTAAACTAGACCGTAATTCTGATGACAGACGATAAATTTGGAAAAGAAAAAGAAAAACTGCAAGTAGAGGCCAGAAGAATAAGGAAAGAGGGCTTTAGATTATTATGTGTAGGGATTGGTTTTACTCCAGAGAAAAATGAGTTAGAAGCTATGACAACGGGAAACGTTATTATGTATTATGACCATCCAATCTTTCCAGAAACCTTAGAAGCAACCATTAAAGAATTAAAGAATGGTATGTACTTCAAAGATAGGATTAACTTGAGATAAGCATACGGTCCTTCTTTCATATATGGAGGCATCGCATGTACACATTCAAGCTTCGTTAATTACATATACACCCTTTTCAAAAAAACGTTGTCGGGGAGAATGGCGAAAGCCGATTGTCGAAGGGAGATTGCATAACCGAAAGGGACTGTAGTTTTGACAAACAAAATTTTACTTATTGGATTCACCTTACATAGAAATGAAGACTAAATTGAGCCAATGGACATTCTATCCGACAACATTTTTTGAAATAGGTATATAGTATTACTGTTTTCAAAAAAGTGCGTAACTTGACCACACTGTGATACGCGATGCTATTTCATAAAAAAGCCCCGTGACAACTTGACAGCTGCCGTAGCTTCTCACTAATGTCTCGCCATTTCATTTTTATTTTTTTCCAGAAATCAATGGAAAGAGTATTTTTGGTAGGCTTAATTTTTAGATTCAAGATTCAAAACTTAATTAATATGCAATATAGATTTACAATGGAAACGTGTAACGCCTGTACATTTCTTTAGTACCAAGCGTCGGAATATTCAATGCTCATTGAAGATTCSAARACGAACGTTATGACCATATTTGGAAAATTCGGCCGTTRGATAAAAGATTTAAGGCCCGTWCTGGTTGGCTATAGGGTAAATTTAATTGTTCCAAATAAGGRAATGTGATGCAAATTAGATTTGAATATTTCAACGGTTGGCACGRCGTTRCACATTCCTAGTCTCTAATAGGTTTCTGCTGATATCCAGCCATTTTCTGCTTTTTCATCAACAGAAAGATATGTTCAGTACTTCAGAACTCCTTACTTTATCTTTATGCGTGACACACTGAGTTACCTTGCGTTACTTTTTCTTCACTTTGGGGTTTGTCTCTGGCCGTCCACTCTYGACTTTACTGTACTTGAATGGTTGATTTTCACTTTCTTCGTGGGGAGACTGATGATGGAATTATATCARGCYTCGGTTGAAGTTCRTTTGGGTGCCAAACTCAAAAARCAGTCAAWCAAATCGGCGAAAATAGATCTATCCAAATATTTCAGGTAACATAACCAAATAGCGGTAGAGTTATGTAACATTAGGTAGTGTGCAGCGACGCCATTTTGCGCCACAAAGCATGATGGGAGTTGTACTTCTCGCATTTTTAATGTCAACTAAA